TTACACCGTTTGAGGTGTTGATTCTCGTGTTTTAGGCTGATTTCACGCTAGGTTGTGCTTGTTTGTGATATTTCAGGTCCTAGTACGTGAATGAAGGCTTAGGAGCGAGTCTGGGGTCGATTGGACGAAGATCGGACGAATGGCGAAGCTTCAAGGAAGCTGCACGGGCAGGCCAGGGCTTCACACGGCCGTGCAAGTGAGCAAGATGGTCGTGCGCTTTTTGCCGAGGCCACGCACGGGCAAACCATGAAAATCAAAAGAGAGCTACTACCAAAAATCTGAATAATGCCCATTAAGTAGTGTTTCTTAGCAGTCTGGCTTGGAAATGCTGATGTTTATGCCTCCTTCGCTCTTGTGCTCTTGAGATATTGAGTAATGCAGAATAGCAGAAAGAAAATACCGGTTTGTTTGACTGTGATTGTGTGTTTGGAAAATGTGGAACCTTTTGCTATGAATACTTCCACCACCTAAAAGGCTTTTTCCCCATGTCCAAGACCCTAGCCAGTCATTTGAACCTGTGTCTAAGACCTCCTGATTAGTTAGTGGTGACACCCCATATGTGAACTCTAGCATTTAGAGGCTGCCATCATGGTGAAGAGATGATAGGGATTGAGAGAAATAGCATGCGCATCTTTCGCATCAAATTGTCCTGACCCCACTGGTCGAGAGTGAGTGATTCATTTTCATTTTCTATATGCTCTTGTACCCCGGTGAGGACCTAGATTGCTCGGTCTCTATTCTGATGTTTTGAGTTGGGTGCATGAGTTGACTGTTTTGAGTAAGTGGTTGAATCAAGTCTAGGTTGGCCAGTGAACAGAAGGGAGACTCTTCCTTTACTCGATTTGCTGCACTCGAATGTCCTTTGTGGTGGTTGTCCAGGTTGTTATTGAGGTTGTTCATGTATTGATGTTTGAAAACCAGTGCTATTCATGTGCTCTGTGCCTTTATGACTTGTCCCCAATGTTGGTTGATTAAAATATGTAAGCTTACCTGGTGTCTGACTTGGTTTGCTTGGGGACAAGCAAACGGTTAAGTGTGGGGGAGTTTGATAGACCGTCATTTACACATGTTTTTACCCCCGTTCTTACACCGTTTGAGGTGTTGATTCTCGTGTTTTAGGCCGATTTCACGCTAGGTTGTGCTTGTTTGTGATATTTCAGGTCCTAGTACGTGAATGAAGGCTTAGGAGCGAGTCTGGGGTCGATTGGACGAAGATCGGACAAATGGCGAAGCTTCAAGGAAGCTGCACGGGCAGGCCAGGGCTTCACACGGCCGTGCAAGTGAGCAAGATGGCCGTGCGCTTTTTGCCGAGGCCACGCACGGGCAAACCATGAAAATCACACGGCCGTGCAAAGTGCACCCTGGCCGTGTGGTTTTTGCCGAGGCCGAGCACGGGCTGGACGGGAACCCTGCACGGCCGTGCACCCTGGCCGTGTGAGAAGCCTAAGAACTAAACCATACGCCGCGTTTTGAGCCGCACGGCCAAAGTGGTGATCTGCACGGCCGTGCACCCTGGCCGTGCGAGTCGGGAAATCCTGGTTTTAGAGCCTATTCCGAGCCAAAAGTGGGAGAATCGCGTTTTCAGAGCAGAAACAGAGCCCTAGAGAGAGAAAGTGCGAAGAACACATCCTAGAAGCTATCTCGGAGCTAGGTTTCGTCGAATCGAGCTTGGAGATCGTCATAGGAGTGGAAATCATCATCCCGGAGCAGATTTTCCTCATCGTTATGAGTATGACTAATCCGATTACTGTTTTCTCTTCTCTCTCTATGGAGTAGAACCCTTCTCTCACTTGGGTATGAAGAACCCTCGTTCCTGGTGTTAGGGATTTGATTGTAATGACTTGGGATGATATTACTGTTTGATTTTAATCGAATGATGCATGTTTATTGAATTGATTGGAGTCTGATCAGCTTTTCTCAATTTCTGCTGCAACCTGAGATAGATAGAATCTGATTAGGTTGTTAGAGCCTCTTCAATCGATAGTAGGAGATTGGCTATACGAGAGTTAGCCAGGTTACTGCTTTGTACTGGAATTCAATTCCAGTAGTGGAGTGCTGTGTTCATAGCCTCAGCTTTCTATCCCGGTGAAGACTAGTCGTCTGCCGGGTAGTTAGACTGAGAGGGCTTGGTCAGCTTAAGAGATTCCAAGCTACTGTCGGATCTTCCGCAGTCTAATCAACAGTAAATCAACCCAGGGAATTACAATTGAACCTAACTAAGGGGCTAGGGGGACTCAATCCCGAGTGACTCTTTCCTGACTTTGAAAACCGAACAATTTATTGCTTTCTTATTGCTTTAGCTTTAACAACAATCACTCGAATTAGTTTGCTAGATAATAGAGAATCACGGAGTAAGCAGTAGATCTAGACCTCGGGTTGATAATATAACTTGCCTGTTACTGCATTCCCGGACTGCGATTACACTTGGTCGCAGTTTGGTGTTGTGTTTTGGCGTGTCAGTCGGTCCATAACCTCAATAAAGAGTTCTTTTTTGGATCTCCCTGCTACAGTTGCAAGACCAAGGTATTTGTTATGCTTCTCTACCCTTTCCATTCCCAAGATGCCGCACACCATGAGCTTGTTGTGCATCTTCACATTCTCGCTAAAGGAGACGGATGACGTTTGGAATTTGACCAACTGACCCGACTCCCTCTCGTAATCCTTTAGAATCTTTTTTAATTCCTCGCTCTCTCGTTCTGTAGCCCTTGCAAAGAAAATGCTGTCGTCCGCAAAGAACAGGTCTGACACAATCGGAGCCCCGCGCGCTGCCTGAAAACCATGGATCCTTTTCTCCTTCACCGCCAGAGACGTGTAAGCTGACAACCCTTCTACACACAATAAAAACAAGTACGGTGAGAGAGGATCGCCCTGCCGAAGGCCCCGTCCAGGGACAATCCTCGGAGAAGGGTGACCGTTAACAAGGATGGAGTAAGTGACCGATGTCACACACTTTATAACCACTAAGATCCAGTGTTCCGCGAAACCCATCCGCCGCATCACCCCCTCGAGGAAGTGCCACTCAACTCTATCATAAGCCTTCACCATATCTATCTTTGCTGCCATGACTCCCACCTTGCTCTTCGACTTCTTTTTCATTGAATGGAAACATTCAAAGGCTGCCATCACATTGTCTGTGATCGACCTTCCTGGGACGAAAGTGCTCTGCTCTGGTGATATAATCTTATCCAGGATCGTCTTCATACGGTTTGCCAGCACCTTCGTCACCAATTTGTATAATACATTACATAAACTGATTGGTCGAAAGTCCTTTGGTGTAGAAGGTTCCTTCACCTTGGATATCAATGCAATTAGAGTATGATTCAGGTCCTGGGGCATCTCACCTCCCACAATTATGTCCCGGACCAGTTCCCACACCTCGGTACCAATTATGCTCCAGTATTTACGATAGAACAGGGCAGAGAAGCCGTCAGCGCCTGTGGCCTTCCTGGTGCCCATCTGTTTTAATGCTTCCGTGACCTCCCTCGTAAGCTCCTCATTCTCTGCTTCCGTGACCCTCATCATGATCGAGTCCAGAACTGGGTTATTCACCGGGATAGGACCTGCACAGAAAAGAGAGCTATAATAGTTTGTTAGAACGTCGAAAAGGCTCTCCTGTCCCACGTGTCAGGCACCAGTCTCATCTTGAAATTTCTTGATGGTATTCCTCTTGCGCCTGGCAGAGGCTTTCCGGTGAAAGAAGTTCGTATTACGATCTCCTCCCTTCAACCAGTCAGCCCGCGAACGTTGCTTCCAATATGCTTCTTCATTCTCCTCCAGCTCATCCAGCTCAGTTTCGAGCTTTTTCATTTGCTCCAATACCTCGTCTGACTTCTCCCTTCTCTCAAGCGCCTAAATAGCTCTTCGGATGCGCTCTTTTTGCCTTGAAAATCTAGGGAAAGTCCCCCGACTCCACTGATCCAATCGATCCCGACAGGTAGCCAGCCTCGACGTTGGGAAATTCCCTGAGCTGGCTCCCCAGCCTTCCTCAATGATCTTTGAGCAGTCCGTATAGGTAGTCCACATAGGCTCAAATTGAAATGTCCAGCCCCACTTCGGTTCCTCGTCCTCTTCACCCAAAGTGTTACATAGGATCGGTCTATGATCTGATCGCCTCTTGTCTAAGTGTATAACCTTGTTCGATGGGAACATTTCCTTCCAGCTTTCTGATGCCACAAATCGATCAAGTCTTTCCTCTATGTAACGCCCTGCTTGGCGCCTATTTTCCCAGGTATAGTTATAACCAAAGAACCCTAAGTCCTGCATGCCCATTTCCGAGAGACAGTCGACAAACTCCATCATACATTGGCTGTCAGCCAAATTACCTCCACTCTTTTCCTCATTGGATAGAATTTGGTTAAAATCCCCGCCACAGATCCAACATCCATTCCACTGCGCAGCCAGCCTTCGGATCAAGTCCCAAGTTTGATCCTTCTCCGAGTCCACCGACCACCCATAAATACCATAGAATCTCCACGTTCCAATTTTTCCATCCTCAATTTTTGCATCGATGTGATGGAGAGAGGCCGACATAGGAGTCAGTGCTATCTCCTCGGACCACCACAAACTTAAACCGCCAGCCTTCCCTCCATGAGACTGATCCGTCGGCCACACCTCTCCCTTAGGAAAGCCTAGTTCACTTCTTAGTTCATCGTTCTCAGCTTTTGATTGCTTAGTCTCCATTAGGAAGACCAGTTGTGGGGAAACCTGTCGCACCAGCGACTTCAAAGACTGAACTGCTCGCGTGTTTCCCAGCCCGCGGCAGTTGTAACTCAGGATTCGCATTAATGACCTGGAGGGGATAGGTTCCCCGCACCATCATGTTTTGCAGCTCCTTGTACCTGATTATCAGCTGATTTTTTCTTGTTCAGTTTATCTTCCTTTCTCACTTCCGAACCACCTTTCTTTTGGTGTTTCTCCGCTGTATGTACCTGTTTTACTCCCTGACCTTGCCCACCTTTCATACTACCCCCTTCTTTCACCTTACTCGCATCATCGTGAACCTAGCTTTTGCCCCTTGAAACCCCTTCACTTGCCCCCTTTGTTTTCTGTATATTCAGTGGTCCACCTCCCCCTACAGGTACACTCGCCCCCACCATTTTAGTAGTCTCCCTTGGCATTGCATCCTCCCCCGAAGTGACTTCCTCTTGTAGTACTGAGAACTTATTCCTATCCCCTTCATCCCTCTCTCTCTGCCTTACCGGGATTTGGTTGTTGTTCAAAGAAGAGATTGACTTGTACCCTCGATGATCTCGACGTTGAACGATCATCCAGTCCCCATAAACCTGCCCCTTCGTTCGCGATTCCGGTTGAGATTCAGGCACCATGTCTGGCGTAGGCTCGGTTTCTTCGTTGTTCATATCCTTGCAGCCACACTGATAGGTAGGTTTGCCATATCTCCCACAGTCAGTACACAGGTTTTCCAAGCCTTCATATTGGATGAGGTATTCTTCACCCTCGATCTTGAATTGAGACCGTAGGGGCTTAGTAAAATCCACCTCGACACAGACCCGGGCATATTTCCCACGTTCTCTAAATTCAGTCGCCTTATCCACCCGAATAGGCTTCCCGATATATGTTGCTATCTTCATGACCGCTTCTTTGTTAATGAACTCAATAGGGAGGTCCGGGAGCTGCGCCCAGACCATCGCTGAGGTTGTCTCCGACCTCCAGGGGTTAAAACCTTTGTACCAACGTGTGACCGTGAGGTAGGTCTCACCTAGAAGCCACGGACCCCCGTTCATTGCGAACTCATAATCATCTAGATGTCGGAAGCGCACCAGGAAACACCGGTTTTTCATATCTGAGATCTGGAGTTCACCGTGTTTCCCCCATAAGTTATTCAGCCTACGGGAAAGGGGAAAGAACGACACCCGTCTACCCAGTCCCTTCACTACCAGCGCAGATCTCCACTCACACCTCCAATGAATTTTCTCCGCTGCCGTGAAGAGGATGGTCGGACAGTTAGGGTTGTTTTCCTGCTCGTCACACACGTCATCCTCTTCCTTTTCCGCTTGGAGAATATCCTCTGTATCCGACTCGGCCACATACCAGGTTGTTCGCGGAGTTGTTGTTCCAAACACCTTTCTGCCACTACCCCCATCCCAAGCTGATGGACGAGCCTCCCTGCTCGTGTTGACCTCCTCTTCCATCTCGATCTCCGTCGCATGTTGGTTACCGCCAAGACCTACTCCCTCCTACTCCAGGTTGATCGCACGGGGGCGTTTCTTAGCCTGGGTAGATTCCTTCGCCATCTTGTTGTTCGGTGAAGAGGACGAGTCTGCAAGTCACCGACTGCCGCAAATATAATCCGGCGGCTTATTCCCTTCAGCCGGCAGCGAGGACGGCTTTGCCGTCGTCATGCAAACCCTAGACGTCACCAAACTTCAAAAATCGCCCGAGAAGCCCTAGCTCCCGGGTTAGAGTTGGTTGCAGGCAATTCCTCTTTTGGCAAAAGTCCAACATCTACAATTGAATCAAATCAAGTCGACCAAATCCAATACTTTCTTCCCATATCTCACAAAAATGATATTTCAAAAAATTCTCTTATCTTCTTTTCATTTCATTCCTATTCACACTATTTAAAAATCCAACATCTACAAAATAGACGATTAGTTTAACCATATTTTCATGTAATCTCATTCGCACCCTATCAAACAAAACTCCAAAAAAATCCTCTAATTCAAACAAAAAGAAGTATTAAATGCGCCCTTATTATTGTATCAATAATTTGACAAATTTTAAATGTTTGTTGTCGAGCTCGGATTAGTTGATTATATATTAGACCGGTTTTCTCACGATGATATATACACTTTTTGGTCAAACAACTTGGGCTTCAAAGTCGAGGTCTTCCTCTCCTCTCCATCATCTTCCATCTTTCCCTTCGCTTGCTTTTATTAGTCCTTAATGAAGCTAACTAGCTTAGGTCTTTATAAAAGAAAATTGTCATACTAGTTCGTTTGTTATATAGGGCAAAAGTTGGTGTACGTCTAACTTATAATATATGTTTGCGTCCACATATATAAGATGTACTTTGACAAATTAAAATTTTCATTAACTTTTTAATTAAATTGATTTTATAATTTTGGTTTAGAAAATCAGGACATGCAGTCCACCCACTAAAAGTAAGGATATAATATAATACCTAAAAAATTGAATAATTTATGGTCTAAATACTTAAAGACGATAACCGCACGATAAAATTAATGTACGTCAAATATACACTAGAGTGAACCATACCTACTATTCAAACTTCAAAGCCCTAATTAGGGAAAGAAGCCAACTTGTCCTTCGAAAAACATGAAAAAAATCCATCTTGCCATAAAATTCATTTCGGAGGTTGATCATGGACCAAAGTTCACGTGAGTCTGCTGGCCATAGGTTGAGAATCCACGCGACTTTTCCGGTTGAATGCAAAAAAGAAACTAAAACGTCAACTTATGATAATGTTTATTACTAATGCCGACATAGGCTGAAAGGTTTGTTGACGACATCGACACTTAGTACCATGAGCGGGTTCGAGCTCTACTCGTCTGCAACCCTAGTTCTAGTTAGGGTGGATAATGTAAGTGGGTAGTTGATCTACGGTTTGATAGCAATCTATTTTCAAATAATCCTGATCGATGTGGGTAGATCGTGGATTGATAAATTTCCTACTCTCATTTATTCGGGTGGGTAGGTTGCAGGTCACAATAATGACCCGCAAGCCACTTTTACATGACGAAGAGTTGGGCTTTTTCCTTCATACTATCGAATGATAATCTTATTGCTAAGTGTCTCACACACTAACCATTGACTTCTAAAGCTGGAAAAGCAAATCTGTTTCATATTTGTACACATAATAAACATGAGTGAGAGGCATATCCTAATCTAACGAAAACATATGATTGTAGCATGAATTTTAGCCCTAAATTTGCCTAGTCGAGTTGCTGAATTGTTCCTATAGCTGTTTTTTTTTTTTTTGTGGTGTGAGTACAGCTGATTTGATTAGTTTCAACTTTCAATCCAGAATTCCCTTGAATTATACTTATTATTGGAATGAAGGAGAGCAGACCAGGAAAGGCCACTTGTTTTCCGTTATTCTGACTGGAGAAAGGCCACAACACAACGCGGACTTCCAAAGCATTCAGTGGTCACTCTTTGGCCCATAAATACGTCAATGCCTTAAGATTCAATACCAAAATTACTACGTACCGGACTTTAACTAAAACAATAAATGCCCCTTTCAATTTTTCTAAGTACAACCACAATCTCCATTAAAGAAGGTACAACTCCAATCAATACTAAGTAAGTCACAGCTAGCTGACGAATATTTATTGAATTTGTACGATTTAACTACAAGTCCATAGGGCCACCACTATACTACATCGTGACAGTATTGGCATCATAAAAATTTAAATCACACGTTTACTATTACTTAACGAAATCCTCACCAAACATACCGGCCACAATTAGAGCAGACTCGTCCGTAACAAGCAATAAAAGAATAAAAACGTAGATTGGTTAATAATGCTGGTCGAAAACAAAATTTCCGATAACAATAGTGATATCATATTTAGAGCATAAATTCAGTCAAACCGCGTTCCCTACACGGTTAAAAATTTCCGCGTAAACAAACAATAGAAGAATGAGAAACTTAGGTTGGTCAATAACGCTCGTTGAAAATAAAAATTTCTAATAACGGTAGCGAAATCGTAATGAAGGCGCAAATCTAGTCACGCCGTGTTTGGCTATTATCGTTAGAAATTTTCGCACAATAGTGCATTATTTGGTAGTACATACTTAATAACGAAACCACTTATTTTAACCACGTTAAAATAGAAATTCATATGACTCCTGGATGAGAAAAAGTCCACATGATGAAGTCCTATTATTTCAATTTTATTACACCTGCGTGTAATAAATCACAATCAGTTAGCAACTGCTTCCGTGATTACAATTTAGGAACAGCGAGAAGAAAATCCGGACAAAAGAACAACAAATGGAACAAGAAATTAAAATCAGAATAGAGCGTTGGATTAAAATCAATAACTTGGTTTGTTAGCATTTTAGTCAATGGTCTTCTAGAGACAGTTTCCAATACTACAAATACAAGCCACAAAAAGATCGTGTGCCTTGCCAACCGAATTGGTTCGGTAAGCCCAATAATTTATATTCGAACCCTAACCATAATTATCGAGATCTCCACTTCATTCATCCTCGTGTCAAAGTCAAACCACTCTCTAACTATGCTAGTCTGTCGGGAGATCGAGTGTGCCTAGGCCTTGTTCACCATTGAGTTTATGCATTTATGGTTAGTATTTTTATAGTTCTTTTTTTAGGGGGTGGTTTGCTTCTTGGATTTTGATGAGAAATTTTGCTTCCATATCTCACATATATTGGATTGCTACTTAAATCTAATAAAAATGAGGTTGACCTAAATATGTAGGGGCAACATATATGAGATTTTTCCAGCTTAAAATTTGCGGTCGTCGGTGGTGACTCTGTTGTTGTTGATGGTCGACAGGCAGGAGTAAGGTTTATGGGTTTCTGTTCTACCCTTTTAGGATTTTTTGTATTGAAAACCCTGAGCAATAGCAAACACAAAGTTCTGAACCAAATCCCATATACCTAGATTTTTAATAGAGTGATTTATGGCCAACCCTCAATATCTAAATGCCCCACCCAACCCTCAAGGAATTTTGGGTTAACAATATTAATTGTCAAGAAACCTAAACCAAAACCCTTAGAGCCATGCATAGCTACACACAAAGAGAAATGGTTCGGTGTCGTTAATGCAATGGTCTGCATTGCTCTTACCTATTTTCAAAGAAATCATACACTAACGATTCATTTCAACTCTTTGGAACCAGATTACCAGTCGTGGCCCGTGTGTATATATATAAAAGTAATGGAAGTTTCAACCTTTCGAAAGGAACTATCTTGTATGGACCCAACTCGTAGGCTGTTCCCACCCACCAAGCTACTAGTATTGCAGTTTGCCGCGCGATTTCTCTCATCAATCGCTCCAAGAGAAAGAGGAAGGGATGATCCGTGCAGGGAAATGGGGAAGTTAATTAGGGCACATTGAAAAACATGCATCTTGTGAAAAAACGTGTTTCGTCTTTCACTTGATAGGCACCCATGTTATCTTGGTCAAAAACTTGTTTAGGTTTGTTTGTATTTGCTTCCCTTTCTTAAACCACTACTTTCAATGTATATTCGATCTCAACAGTTATATATCACATTACGATTACTTATCATAATGATACGTATGGGAGGCAAGCTATACTTTGCCACAGTTCCTAAGCACAACATACTCATGATTGATTAAAGGGTTTCTAGATTAAATATTATGACTTATGATCAGCACATACGAAAAATATATAAATTGAATGTTGATCTTCTTCGACAATTCTAATTATTAATAATAATAAATTAATAGACAAGAGATTTTCTTTGAAGAGTTCAATTGAATAAGCCTACTTATTTATGCTCGAGTAGGGCACAAAAACAAGAATAATGAAACTAGACTAACTTTTCATCCACATTCATCTATCTGGTATAATGTTTTTTTTCTTTTTATACCTGCATTCTTTCTTTTCATTTTGGTCTTTCCCGCCTTTTCTCTTTTTTTGGTAGGTTGGTCGCCGGATTCTCTCTCTTTTTTTTACAATATTCGCAGACTTAATTCGGAGCGGAAATGTTAGAGTGCTAACACCAATTTATTAGCATGATACTAACGCTAACTTCGTGATGCTATGCATTAATTATGCATCATCACAAGTATCTTGAAGCAGTCCACAAAATTAGACCAGAAACACAACAAATCATATCACAAGTAGCATAAAGCTTATAAGCATATGATTCAAGCCATTTTATACATATTTATACCCTTTTATCTTTGTCGTTTTACTAGTGTAACATCGTCCTTTGAGCGATTTAACACTAGGTTTACTCGTTTTTTAGTATGTTTCAGGCTCTAGCAGGTGGAATGGGCAAAATGATCGAAAGTCATACGAAAATAAAGTGAAAACGTGACCAAGTGTTGGAAATGTCAATGGCAGATTATCACGGGTTTAGACTGTGACGATTACCCCGAAACTCTGACCTATGCAAGTTCCCTGGAGACTTTGGACGTCTCGGGGGTAGTGCAAGGATCACGAGCGCAGGG